CAGATCCTGGTCCAGATCCTGGTCAGACCCTTGTTCAGATCCTGGTCTAGATCCTGGTCAGATCCTGGTCCAGACCCTTGTTCAGATCCTGGTCCAGACCCTGGTCCAGACCCTTGTTCAGATCCAGACCCTGGTCCTGGTCCAGACCCTGGTCCAGACCCTGGTCCAGACCCTGGTCCAGACCCTGGTCCAGGCCTGGTCCAGACCCTGGTCCAGACCCTGGTCCAGACCCTGGTCCAGGACCCTGGTCCAGGAGGTTGTGGTCCAGGAGCCCTTCCAGTCGTCGTCGAGGAGCAGGACCAGGTGAGCGTCTGTGAAGGCCTCGAGCAGCGACGTGTGGATGGAGACCTGCAGCAGGAGAACATCAGGACTTTAAACTGTTTCACAGATGAAGGTCTGGAGAAGTTCTGGATCTGGTTCTGATGTTTCTGTGTCACATGTGTCATTATTCAGTCCAACATTTGGTCCTACCTCACTGTATCTGAACTCGGTTGGGTCCTGGTCCAGTCCTGTTTTGGTCCTGATCCTCTTCCAGGTTTAGTTTTGGTTTAGACCTGGTTCAGTCCTACTTTTGAGACCATAAAGAACTTTTATTTCCAAACCTGGTGGAGTCTTGGAGCTGCCAGATCCTCAGTCTCCATCTGCAGAGCCCTTCAGCTGGTCCAAGATCTGGTCCTGGTTCAGTCCTTGATCCTGGTCCGGGTGCAGCAGGTGCAGGGAGATCAGAGAGGACTTTGGGAGGACTTCAGGATCCTGGAGCAGCTCTGAGATCAGGAACGGAGCAACTGGACTCAGAGCGCTGAAGAAGAAACCAGGAATTAAACCAGGACTAAACCAGGATTAAACCAGAACTAAACCAGGACTAAACCAGGACTAAACCAGGACTCTACACCAGGTCTAAACCCGGTCTCCCGTGGTCTTCAGACCTGCAGATCCACACGTTCAGGGGTTTGATGTTCTGGAGACGTTCTTGTTCTTCTTGGTTCTGATCCAAAATGGCCTCCATGTTCTCCTCTGCGATCTTCAGGCTGAGCTCAGAGGGAATCTCCACGGTGATGTTGTAATACGCCTGGACCCACATGAACACGACAAAACAAGAAGAAGAACATCTCAGAAGCTCTGGTCTCATGTGATTCTGATTCTGTGACAGTGTAAATCTTGTTTCTGTTTAAAGCTCAGACCTGCTGCTCTGTGTTTCTCTTTGTCTGGAATATTCCACAGTGCGGCATTAAACAGACCTACTGTGTGTTTGCCTCTCCACAGATCTGACCTGTAACTTGACCTGCTGGATGAGTCTGTATGGAGGGAAGTAGGTTTAATGTCACACTGTGGAACATTTCTCCTCGTCTTGGTGTGTCCTGCTGTGAGTGACAGGAGGATTTAACCAATCACAGTGAAGTGACACAGAAACAGCAGGAGCTTTAGTGACACTGTGGAAAAGATAAAGACAACATGAACTTTAACTTCTTGGCACAAAACAGTGACGTGTGTTTAGTTTGTTGAATGTTTGAGGACAGATGAGGAGGACGATGATCCTGAAACATTCAACAAACTAAATACAGTTTCTTTAAAAAAACAACCCAAGATATTTGATGCACATGGACGTATCCCAAGTGACAGGATCTTTAAATCCGAGTTGTGCACAGGACTCAGACTTTTCATGTTGACACTTTTGTACATATTTACTTCATGACATTTGTGCAAAGTGACCAGATTTTCAAAATGTAAAAAAACTGGAAGAGCCTCTTTGTGGTGGGCGATAATAAGAAAATGAAGAAACGAGTAATTAAAGAAACTTGTTCTGCAGAGATCATCCATGACAAACATGAGTCAGTACAGCCACATTTTATTTGTGTTTTGGTGATTTTTAAGCAGCTTTTGTGTATTTTACCAAAACAAATGACAGTTTTTTATGTTTCTCTTTACTGTTGCAGGATCAGATTGGTCCAACACAGAGACACTGGGACATTTCCTGTATAAAACTGTGGAACAAATCAGTGGTTTTGTATAAATCTGCAGGGACAAGGGGACACAGGGACATAAACTGTGACTGTCCCTGGGGAACAGGGACGTCTGGACTCTACATTTGTGTTTAACACTTTAAACATGTTTAAGTGTTGACCTGGCAGTGCTCCATGAAGTCTGACAGTCCTCCCAGCAGCAGCCCCGGACAGCCCGGACCCACCTCCCTCCAGACCACAGGAGAGACCAGAGGACGGACCAGAGGACGGACCAGAGGACGGACCAGAGGACGGACCACAGGAGAGACTGTGTGAGTCCAGCCGTGTGAGAGACACGTCTCCTCCAACCAGGCCTGAAACACAAACGCAAGTTCAACAATATCAAAATACAAATCAATTCAAACAACAGACGTCCTGTTCTATTTTCAGCAGCTCCTCCATCCCCAAACATCTCAGATTCCTCATCCAGACTCAAAGTGTCACATACACAAAACCAAATGGGCTCAAAATAAACCAAATATTCATCAGTATAATATCGAAATCCAACAATATTTTCAAACAATAAAACAGGTCCAAAACAAAAAAGCCATTAAAACTTACAGTATCTATAAGAAGTATAGTATAGCTTTATTTAATTTATGACTTTTTTTTTTTTTTTTTGCTGTTGTTTAGTTTTGGGCTCTCTTGTGTGATAAACTGCAAACCACCCCCATATTGTAGAAAAAAAGACGTATGTATGTATGTATATATATATATATATATATATATATATATATATGTATATATATGTATGTATGTATGTATGTATGTAATTCCATCTGCACTTTATAATGTTTAAAAAAAATAATAATAATAAAATAAAATAAATTCAAACATTCACAGTTCAGTTCCAGAGCAAAGGAGAAATTCAATTCTGTCACTGGACAAAAGTTTATTCTAAAAACAACATTTTGCTGTGTACTGTTGGACAATGTCAAAATGTATGTGTATGTAAATGTTTGTATAATGTACTGTATGTATGTGTAAGAACGTTTTAGGATTGACAAAAACAAACAAACAAACAAACAAAAGATATAAGGGAACAGAAAATATGTAAATGTAAATGTGATTTAACAGCCCTGAACTGTAAATACACACATGCAAACACTGAAACCCCCAACCTGCCAACCCACGCCCCTGCTTTTCTTCTTTTTTTGTCTCTTCCTTTTATTTACTTATTGTTTGTTTACTGTTGTTGTTGTGTGTTTTTCTTTCTTTTTTTTTTTTTTTTTTTTTTGTATATGTGTTAGTCTTATATTTAGCTCTGTCTATTTTGTTATGATGACAAAATTATAAATAAAACAAATTTTAAAGAAATGTTTTGACCTGCCAGAGTTCGGGGAGAATCGGTATTTTCCGGACTCTGAAATCCGGGAGACATTTCTGACATTTATCCGCCAAATATTCGGCTTTGGCGTAGTTGGGACAGTCCGCTTTACCTGCACAGAGGTAATCCACGGTTAAACACACACAAACAACACATTTACGAAACATTTAAAGCGAAATAAAGAGTTTATAAAGGGAAAAATTACCCGCGAGCACGAATCTGGCCATGACGGTTTGGGTCGGACGGTTGCTAGGAAACGGGACACGAACTTTACCGTTATCTGAAGAAAAATCACTTTAAAAACACAAAAAACACTAAAATATCACTCTTTAGTCATAAAAAAATGTACAGATGCTTTTTTATGTTTATTTTCTGTAGTTTAATGTTCATTTTCTTCACTGATAAGGTTTATTTGTTCAGTTTTGTTTGAGAAAAGTTAGGCGGAACCATACTCTGTTATGTGGGGACCAGTAACAGCGGTGCACACAGTAGCCGCATGTTGCTAACGGGATGCTAAGGGAATGTAGTGTTATTTCTATTATTTGTCTCTTTATTTGTTATTATTTAAGGTTTTATGTCAGTAAAATTAATACACCTGAATATGGAGTTTAAGTACGTGTCTGGAACAGGACTGTCAAAGTAACCCGAGCTGTGAAAAGGTGAGTTTTAATCGTGATAACCTTCGGATCGGCTAAAGTGCAGCAGGAAAGACACGAGAGGAAACATCTGAGAATCTGTGAACAAATAAATGAAATAAATCAATAAAACTAATGAAATCAAATATGTTTATTGATAAGCTAGAATTAATTGGACATTTTATAATCATTTTAGGAATTTTTTTCTTCTTTTTAACGAATAAGAACAAAATAAGTCAGAATAAAAAAACAATGATTTAAAAAATTACTAAATGAAATAAAAATCCTCCTCGTATCTACTTCTTTTTCTTCAGGCTTCTGTCCCTCATGAAACCTGTTTTATAACAACTCCGAAATATCGTGATATCGTATCGTTTAACTAATTTTAGTGCAGCAATAGAAAACAAAACAAAAACAAAAAAACACAGATGAACTACATAGACCATGATCCTTTGCGCAATTTCAGAGCAAATTACATGAAGAAATAACAGTTACAAGCGCGTTAAAATCTAGAACCAAAGTCTAATCACGTTATTTTAAAAGGAAAAAAGTGACATATTCACAGTTTTGTTTGTCTCCACAAAATATCGTAATAAATATCGTATCATGAGGTGGATATTGTGAAAATATCGTATCCAGAGATTTGGATATCGTTACATCACTATGACAAGTTACTCCAAACTTATTATAAGGTGTAAATAAGAAGAAGTTGCCGATACGATACAAACCTCGATACAGTAAGTCAGGGGTGGGACCAAGTCGTCGTTTTTCAAGTCTCGAGTCCGAGTCAAGTCCGAAGTCAAATACAGTCAAGTCCCGAGTCAAGTCCCGAGTCAAGTCCCGAGTCAAGTCCCGAGTCAAGTCCCAAGTCCCAAGTCAAGTCCCAAGTCAAGTCCAAGTCGTCTGCTTTGAGCTTCAAGTCATTTCAACTCCTTAAACCAAAATACCATAAATTGTACTAAAAAAAATCATTGTTTATTTAGATATTTTTTGCACAGCCCTCAGTATAAATAGACATTCAGATTTTTCTCTTCTGATTCCAGACTGTGTAAAACTCATCTCTGTTTCTGTTGTTCTGTTTGTTTTGTAGTTTGTTGAGACGTGGAGCAGCATGTCTGGAGGAGCAGGTGTCGTGGTGAGGAGAGCTCTTCAGGTCTGCAGAGTTTTACAGAAACGAGCTTCAGTCGCTGCTGTGGCCTCCTCCTCCTCCTCCTCCTCTTCATCTTCATCTCGCTCTCATGTCCAGGGTCAGACTTTATTAACTCCCAGGAGCTCGTTTTACTGGAGCTTTCGGTGTTTCTCAGATGTTGGGACCATTTCCAAAGAGTCTGACTCAGATAAATCCGCCGAGAGGACGCCGGTGCTCAAAGCTCGAGCTGCGTTCATGGAGGAGCTCTCCTCCTGCACGTCTCCCTCTGACGTTCTGGACCTGAGCTGCAGAGTTCCTCCCACGTTCCTCCAGCTGAGCCACTGTCTGTCCCAGATCTGGAACAGCACCAAGAAGATGTCCGAGGAGCAGCGGCGTCTGGAGCTCAGGCTCATGTGGGAGCACCCGGAGTGGGAGCGTTTACTGCAGCGCGCCGTGGGCGGAGTCTCGTACCTGCCCGACACTCACCTGGTCTTCGCTCTCCTCTCGCTCGTCAACCTCGGGGTCGGACCCAAGACCAGAGTGATCCAGACCTACCTCCGAGCGGCTCAGGTGAAGATCAGACCACTGCACCTGCTGTCAACACCTGGTTTAGTCCTGGTTCAGTCCTGGTTCAGTCCTGGTTCAGTCCTGGTTTAGTCCTGGTTTAGTCCTGGTTTAGTCCTGGTTCAGTCCTGGTTTAGTCCTGGTTTAGTCCTGGTTTAGTCCTGGTTCAGTCCTGGTTTAGTCCTGGTTTAGTCCTGGTTTTAGTCCTGGTTCAGTCCTGGTTCAGTCCTGGTTTTAGTCCTGGTTTAGTCCTGGTTTAGTCCTGGTTCAGTCCTGGTTTAGTCCTGGTTTAGTCCTGGTTTAGTCCTGGTTCCCTGGTTCAGTAGTCCTGGTTTAGTCCTGGTTTAGTCCTGGTTCAGTCCTGGTTTCCTGGTTTAGTCCTGGTTTAGTCCTTAGTCCTGGTTTAGTCCTGGTTTCCTGGTTCAGTCCTGGTTTAGTCCTGGTTTAGTCCTGGTTTAGTCCTGGTTCAGTCCTGGTTTCCAGTCCTGGTTCAGTCCTGGTTCCCTGGTTTAGTCCTGGTTTAGTCCTGGTTCAGTCCTGGTTTAGTCCTGGTTTAGTCCTGGTTTAGTCCTGGTTTAGTCTGGTTCAGTCCTGGTTTAGTCCTGGTTTAGTCCTGGTTCAGTCCTGGTTTAGTCCTGGTTCAGTCCTGGTTTAGTCCTGGTTCAGTCCTGGTTTAGTCCTGGTTTAGTCCTGGTTTAGTCCCTGGTTCAGTCCTGGTTCAGTCCTGGTTTAGTCCTGGTTTAGTCCTGGTTTAGTCCTGGTTTAGTCCTGGTTCAGTCCTGGTTCAGTCCTGGTTTTTAGTCCTGGTTTAGTCCTGGTTTAGTCCTGGTTTCCTGAGTCCTGGTTTAGTCCTGGTTTAGTCCTGGTTGTTATGTCCTGGTTCCATGTGTGTGGAGTTCAGTGTCTGTGGAGCTGCGTCTCTGTGTGTTTGACTTGAAGAAAAGTCACATGACTGATACGTGTGTGTGGTGTTTGTGTCTCGTGTTGGAGCTGAGGCGGTTTGTTTCGAGTGAGGAGCACGAGACTCAAATCAGAGTCTCTGTTCATGACAGAATCACAGAGAAACAGAACACAGGTCTGTTCTGTCTGATCAGGTAGAGCTCAGTAAAGATTTACTCAAACAACTACAGTATTTTACTTTTATTTTTACGACCTTTCCCCTCGTCATGTGTCATGTGTTTGTCGTTTTTATCGTCCAACAGGCTGAGGTTTACTTTAATGAGTCGGTGTTGGTTTTTTCATGTGTTGATCAGAGTCACAGATGTGTTCATGTGTCTGAATGATCGAGTTCTGTTCTGTGTCTGTGCTTCTGCAGGAGGCACTTTGTTTTTAAACCACCAGAGGGCGCCACAGAACACACACTGTCAACTTACATCCTGTTTAAAGTCCTTATTGATCATAAAAACACACTTAGAGCAGAGCGTCAATAGAACTCTGTTTACATCTGTAATAATGTGTGTTTTGTGTGTTTGTGAGTTTGTGCGTTTTGTGTTTGGTGATTTTTAAACATGTTGTTTTTCAGGAGAGAATCAATGAATTAGACGACAAGAATCTGTCCATCCTGTCGGCGTGTTTGGAAAATCTGGAGGAAGGAGCCAACGTCAGAGCTCTGAAACACGGAATCAGGTACAACACACACACAAATACACACACAATATATACACACACAGAATATACACAAATACGCACATTTTTGATTTGGTGTACGTGTTCTTTTTCCCAGGTTGTTGGTGCTTTAGTTTGTGTACTTGTTGGTTTCTTCCAGGTTGCTGGTGGAGGAGCGTCTGCCCAGGATCAATAACGTGGTTCATCTTCAGACGATGATGAGGATCGTGGGGAAAGACGCTCCGCTCAAACTCAAACACAAACTGGAGGTGACACAACATGACCTCACTTTTTAATTTAGTGTGAACTCAGAGCGCTTCATGTGGAGATCTGATGTGTGTGTGAGGTGTGTGTGTGTGTGTGTGTGTGTGTGTGTCAGGTGTGTGTGTGTGTCAGTGTGTGTGTAGTGTGTGTGTCGTCTTCATGTGTGTGTTTGTGTGTGTCAGTCTTCAGTGTGTGTTTTGTGTGTTCAGGCCAAGGCTCTGTCTCTGTCGCATCAGTTCTCGCTCCCAAACGCTCAGCACATGGTCTCCACCATGGCCACGATGGGCCTCACCTCCAAACCTCTGCTCTCCATCTGCAGCCACAAGATCTCAGGTACCACACCTGAACCACACCTGATCTACACCTGAACCCACACCTGATCTACACCTGAACCACACCTGAACCACACCTGATCTACACCTGAACCACACCTGAACCACACCTGATCTACACCTGAACCACACCTGATCTACACCTGAACCACACCTGAACCACACCTGAACCACACCTGATCTACACCTGAACCACACCTGACACCTGAACCACACCTGATCTACACCTGAACCACACCTGACCACCTGAACCACAACCTGATCTACACTGAACTGAACCACCTGACCACACCTGAACCACACCTGATCTACACCTGAACCACACCTGACCACACCTGATCACACCTGACACCTGAACCACACCTGAACACCTGACACACTGAACCACACCTGAACCACACCTGACCACACCTGATCTCACCTGACCACACCTGATCCACACCTGAACCACACCTGAACCACACCTGAACCACACCTGATCTACACCTGAACCACACCTGAACCAACACCTGATCTACACCTGAACCACACCTGAACCACACCTGAACCACACCTGAACCACACCTGAACCACACCTGATCTACACCTGAACCACACCTGAACCACACCTGAACCACACCTGATCTACACCTGAACCACACCTGATCTACACCTGAACCACACCTGAACCACACCTGATCTACACTGACACTGAACCACACCTGAACCACCTGAACCACACCTGAACACACCTGAACACACCTGAACCACACCTGATCTACACCTGAACCACACCTGATCTACACCTGAACCACACCTGAACCACACCTGATCTACACCTGAACCACACCTGAACCACACCTGATCTACACCTGAACCACACCTGAACCACACCTGATCTAGACTTGGTTTAGACCAGGTTTAGACCAGGTTTAGTCCCTGCTTTTGACTGTGCTTCAGTCCTGGTTCAGTCCTGGTTCAGTCCTGGTTCAGTCCTGGTTCAGTCCTGGTTCAGTCCTGGTTCAGTCCTGGTCTTTGTTTCAGAAAACCTGTCTGGAGTCCCGTTTAATCGTCTGCTGACGGTGCTGGTGTCCTGCAGGGAGCTCAGGTTCAGAGACGTGCAGCTGCTGGAGGCCGTGTCCGAGTACAGCGCCACCATGGTCCAAGTGTGGAACAACAAGCAGGTCAGACACACACTCACTGGAGCAACAACAGGTCAGACACACACTCACTGGAGCAACAACAAGTCAGACACACTCACTGGAACAACAAGCAGGTCAGACACACTCACTGGAACAACAACAGGTCAGACACACACTCACTGGAACAACAACAGGTCAGACACACACTCACTGGAACAACAACAGGTCAGACACACACTCACTGGAACAACAACAGGTCAGACACACACTCACTGGAGCAACAACAGGTCAGACACACACTCACTGGAACAACAACAGGTCAGACACACACTCACTGGAACAACAACAGGTCAGACACACACTCACTGGAACAACAACAGGTCAGACACACACTCACTGGAACAACAACAGGTCAGACACACACTCCACTGGAACAACAACAGGTCAGACACACTCACTGGAACAACAACAGGTCAGACACACACTCACTGGAACAACAACAGGTCAGACACACACTCACTGGAACAACAACAGGTCAGACACACACTCACTGGAACAGACAACAACAAGACACACACTCACTGGAACAACAACAGGTCACACACTGGACACACAGGTCAGAACACACACTCACTGGAACAACAACAGGTCAGACACACACTCACTGGAACAACAACAGGTCAGACACACACTCACTGGAACAACAACAGGTCAGACACACACTCACTGGAACAACAACAGGTCAGACACACACTCACTGAAACAACAACAGGTCAGGACACACACTCACTGGAACAACAACAGGTCAGACACACACTCACTGGAACAACAACAGGTCAGACACACACTCACTGGAACAACAGGTCAGACACACACACTCATGGAACAACAACAGGTCAGACACACACACTCACTGGAACAACAACAGGTCAGACACACACTCACTGGAACAACAACAGGTCAGACACACACTCACTGGAACAACAGGTCAGACACACTCACTCAACTGGAACAACAACAGGTCAGACACACACTCACTGGAACAACAACAGGTCAGACACACACTCACTGGAACAACAACAGGTCAGACACACACTCACTGGAACAACAACAGGTCAGACACAACTCACTGAACAACAACAGGTCAGACACACACTCACTGGAACAACAACAGGTCAGACACACACTCAACAACAGGTGGAACAACAACAGGTCAGACACACACTCACTGGAACAACAACAGGTCAGACACACACTCACTGGAACAACAGGTCAGACACACACTCACTGGAACAACAACAGGTCAGACACACACTCACTGGAACAACAACAGGTCAGACACACACTCACTGGAACAACAACAGGTCAGACACACACTCACTGGAACAACAACAGGTCAGACACACACTCACTGGAACAACAACAGGTCAGACACACACTCACTGGAACAACAACAGGTCAGACACACTCACTGGAACAACAACAGGTCAGACACACACTCAACAACAAACAGGTCAGACACACACTCACTGGAACAACAACAGGTCAGACACACACTCACTGGAACAACAACAGGTCAGACACACTCACTGGAACAACAACAGGTCAGACACACACTCACTGGAACAACAACAGGTCAGACACACTCACTGGAACCACAACAGGTCAGACACACACTCACTGGAACAACAACAGGTCAGACACACACTCACTGGAACAACAACAGGTCAGACACACACTCACTGGAACAACAACAGGTCAGACACACTCACTGGAACAACAACAGGTCAGACACACACTCACTGGAACAACAACAGGTCAGACACACACTCACTGGAACAACAACAGGTCAGACACACACTCACTGAACACACAGGTCAGACACACACTCACTGGAACAACAACAGGTCAGACACACACTCACTGGAACAACAACAGGTCAGACACACACTCACTGGAACAACAACAGGTCAGACACACACACTCACTGGAACAACAACAGGTCAGGTCAGACACACACACTCACTGGAACAACAACAGGTCAGACACACACTCACTGGAACAACAACAGGTCAGACACACTCACTGGAACAACAGGTCAGACACACACTCACTGGAACAACAACAGGTCAGACACACACTCACTGGAACAACAACAGGTCAGACACACACTCACTGGAACAACAACAGGTCAGACACACACTCACTGGAACAACAACAGGTCAGACACACACTCACTGGAACAACAACAGGTCAGACACACACTCACTGGAACAACAACAGGTCAGACACACACTCACTGGTGCAGCAGCAGCAGCAGTAGATCTGCTGGGTTCATCTCCTCCTCTCCTTCTCTCTCTCTCTCCTTCTCTCTCGTCTCCACAGTTCCTCCTCCTCCTCTCTTCGCTCGACGCTCTGTCGTTTTTTCCCTCGTCTCTGTTGGATTCGTTCTCAGACAGAGTTCAGTCTGATCCTGGAGCTTTGACCCTCAAAGATCTTCTGTGTTTGGTGCGAGTCTGCTCCTCCCTCAACTACCACCAGCCCAGGTAAGACCGGGTTTAGACCGGGTTTAAACTGGGTTTAGACTGGGTTTAGACCGGGTTTAGACCGGGTTTAGACCGGGTTTAGACTGGGTTTAGACCGGGTTTAGACTGGGTTTAGACTGGGTTTAGACTAGACCGGGTTTAGACCGGGTTTAGACCGGGTTTAGACCGGGTTTAGACCGGGTTTAGACTGGGTTTAGACCGGTTTAGACCGGGTTTAGACTGGGTTTAGACCGGGTTTAGACCGGGTTTAGACCGGGTTTAGACCGGGTTTAGACCGGGTTTAGACTCTTCTCTTTTCTGTAATCTACTTTGGTTTTTGGTCTGTGCTCTGGTTCGGTTCTGGTTCAGTCCTGGTCTTGGTTCATGTTTCATGTCTGGTGGGCGGCAGTAGTTCAGTTGGTGGAGCATTCGCCCACTGATCTGAAGGTTGGTGGTTTGATTCCAGCTCTCGACATAAACATCACAGGTTGAGCGTCAGATCCACTGACCCACAGGTTGCTGGTGTGATTCCAGCTCCCACAGATGAATGCTGCCGTTGTGTCCTTGGGCAAGACACTTAACCCACCTTGCCCACAGTGTCTGTGTGCACTGGTGTGTGAATGTGTGTGTGAATGGGTGAGTGAATGTGTGTGTGGTTCCTTGTTGTAAAGCGCTATAGAAAAATGTGACCATTTACCATTTACCATGTTTCAGTCCTGATCTTGGTCTGTGTTTCAGTCTTGGTCTGTGTTTGAGTCTGGTCTGTGTTTGAGTCCTGGTCTTGGTCTTTGTTTCAGTCTGGTGGAGCGTCTGGTCTTGGTCTTGGTCTGTGTTTGAGTCTGGTCTGTGTTTGAGTCCTGGTCTTGGTCTGTGTTTCAGTCTGGTGGAGCGTCTGGTCTTGGTCTTGGTCTGTGTTTGAGTCCTGGTCTTGGTCTTGTTTCAGTCTGGTCTTGGTCTTAGTCTCAGTCTGGTCTGTGTTTCAGTCTGGTGGAGCGTCTGGTCTTGGTCTTGTCTTGGTCTGTGTTTGAGTCCTGGTCTTGGTCTGTGTTTCAGTCTGGTCCTGGTCCTGGTCTTAGTCCTGGTCTTGGTCTGTGTCTTTGAGTCTGGTCTGTGTTTGGTCCTGGTCTTGGTCTTTGTTTCAGTCTTGTGGAGAGTCTGGTCTTGGTCTTGGTCTGTGTTTGAGTCTGGTCTGTGTTTGAGTCCTGGTCTTGGTCTGTGTTTCAGTCTTGTGGAGCGCCTGGTCTTGGTCTTGGTCTTGGTCTTAGTCCTGGTCTTGGTCTGTGTTTCAGTCTTGTGGAGCGCCTGGTCTTGGTCTTGGTCTTGGTCTTAGTCCTGGTCTTGGTCTGTGTTTCAGTCTTGTGGAGCGCCTGGTCTTGGTCTTGGTCTTGGTCTTAGTCCTGGTCTTGGTCTTTGTTTCAGTCTGGTGGAGCGCCTGGTGGGGGCGTTGGAGTTGTACGTTCTGAGAATGTCTCCGGTGCAGTTGCTTCGAGCTCAACACAGTCTGTGTCTCCTGGGTCACTTCCCTCAGTCTCTGCTCGTCGCTCTGCTCCAGGACTCGACGCTGCAGCGGCTCCGGACGCACGGTCAGATTTAAAACACCTCCTCATTTATTATCACACTCAACTTAAACTGGTTTTATGTCTGTTTATCTCAAACTTCACGGGCTGGAAATAAGTAGATGGACGTGAACACTGAGCACAGACGCTTCGTTCTCGTCCAGAAGTCGATTATTTTAAGATAAACTCGTCCAGTAAAATTATTTTGCTGCATGGACACGTCATTTCTTTATTTTTAACTCATTTTCTGATAGATTTAAGTGTTTAGATTTTACATTTTGGCCGAGTTTTTCTGCAGTGTGTCAGATGCCCGTCGTTTGTTTGTTTTTTGTGTATTAATCTCGGTCAAACCTGCGCAGAGAAATCAGATCACTCCAGAAACCAGACGATGATCAGATTTCTGGTTCATAATCGGAGCTTCTGCTACACTGCAATAAAACTTGGCCAAAATTTGAAATATATAAACACTTAAATCTATCAGAAAATGACCTAAAAGTGTAGAAATGTGTCCATGCAGCAAAATTATTTTACTGGACAAGTTTATCTTAAATTAAACGACCTGGATGAGAAAGAAGCGTCTGTAAAATCAGGTTTTCATCTTGTTTTCAGGTTTAAGTTTTAAAATCTTGGCAGGATCCGAGACATTTTCCGAGTAGAACTGATGAGGAAACATGTTTGTTTATTGGGCTGAATTGTTCTAGTGTTGAACTTGTGCTGTTTTAATTGTTCCTCAGAGTCCAGATCTGTTCAGGCTCAGCTCAACGTGGTGGAACTGTGTCTGCGTCTGGACCGACCCACTCTGCCTGACCACGTCTCTCTGCCCCCCTCCTCCTCCTCCTCCTCCTCCTCCTCCTCCTCCTCCTCCTCCTCCTCCTCCTCCTCTCCTCCTCCTCCGCTCAGCCCCAGACCTCACCTCTCGTCTGCTCTCCGCTCTCTGCTGCAGCACAGGTCAGACTGGAGCGTGAAGGACGGGGAGCTTCTCGAGGAACATTATTACATCGGTAAAATACAAAAAAAACTGTCACAGATTCACTTTTTTCTGAGTTTTAAACTAACGTGGATTTGTTCTGATTTCAGACGCAGTTTTAACCAAACGTGAGAGCGACTCTGAGAAGGAGCAAAGGTGACATTTGTCTCTTTTTCCTCTTTGGTTTGGGCCGAGTCCCTGAGGTCCACACGTCTCAGAGTTTTACTTCAGTTTTACTTCAGTTTTACTTCAGTTTTACTTCAGTTTTACTTCAGTTTTTCTTCAGTTTTACTTCAGTTTTACTTCAGTTTTACTTCAGTTTTACTTCAGTTTTTCTTCAGTTTTACTTCAGTTTTACTTCAGTTTTACTTCAGTTTTACTTCAGTCAAGCTACAGAATCTCTCTGCTTATGTCATCAACAGAAAACTCTAAATACAGACACGGTTTAGACCTGCTTTAGTCCAGCTTTAGTCCAGGCTCAGTCTAGGTTTAGACCATGTTTAGACCGTGTTTAAGCCTGCTTTAGTCCAGGTTTAGACCAGGTTTAGACCAGGTTTAGACCAGGTTTAGACCATGTTTAAGCCTGCTTTAGTCCAGGTTTAGACCAGGTTTAGTCCTGTTTTAGTCCTGCTCTAGACCTGCTTTAGTCTTGCTTTAGACCAGTTTCAATCCAGGCTCAGTCCAGGTTTAGACCACATTTAGACCAGGTTCGGTTCAGGTTTAGACCAGATTTACACCATGTTTAGTCCCTATTTTAGTCCTGCTTTAGACCAGTTTTAGACCAGGTTCAGTCCTGTTATGGTTTCTTGGTAGTGCTTACTTGTTTTGTATCTGTCTTTGACCCTGTGACCTTGTGTGACCTTGTGTGACCTTGTGTGACCTTGTGTGACCTTGTGTGACCCTGTGTGACCCCGTGACCCTGCGGTAGGAGGGCGGTGCTGTGCGTTCCTCCGTCTGTGTTCTGTTTCGGGACGAGTCGGCCCAGAGGAACTCTCGCTCTGAAACTCCGACACCTGAACATCATGGGATACCTGCCCCTGCTGGTGAGAGACGGAATAACACTTCACCTCTTTTATTCAACTTTTATTGAACTTTTATTGAACCGGGAAAAATCCAGGTGAGATTAAAAACTTTTAAGTCACAGAAGTTCAGGAGGAAACAGTGACAGAGTTTTAACATTCATACAACAATAAAAAAAAACATGAATGACAGAAAAACAAGCGCACACGGAGCTGTGTGTCAATCATCAGTAAATCAAACAGAAACGTGTAAATAAAAGTTAATAACGACTCCACTTTCTGAAGCGACGGTGTAAAAATCGTGTGACTTCAGTTTATTTGTCGTGACAGAGACGAGTTTTTCAGTTTGATGTGGGGAGTTTGAGGTGTGAAGCACAGAGCAGCTCTGGTCTAACAGGACGAGTCGTGCAGCTCGTCTCATCGACTCTTCACATTTTATATAAGTTGAATTGAGGTTTAAACGTGTGGTTCTTCTGTTCTTGTGTTTGTGCCTCAGGTTCCAGAGCAGAAGTTTGTGTCTCTGTCTGACGAGGCCAGAGTCCAGTTCCTCAGAAAACTCATCTTCCCCAACGAACAAGAACCTCAGCTCAGACTCGAGTTGAGAAAATCACCGACACAATCGACAAACACAATCTGACCACATTAAAGACGAGGTTCCGTACTGTTGTGTCATACATGTTTGAGCCATCTAGAGATCTCTCCTGGGCTCTATTCAAACCCTCCGTACGGTTACTGCAGTACGAGTCTGTACGAGGCTCCGCCCACAGGCTCCCGCTGGACAATCCTCCATAAAAACACAAAAACACGACACAGACCTGATGTGACGCGCAGGAGGTGCGACGCTCTGAAGGGGGAGCGACTCAGCACAGAGAGGAGAGACTCAGAGCGACAAAAATAAAAGTGAAACTTGATGTTTTGGGCAAATAAAACATTTTCAAAACAATAAAATGAACATGGAGATTTAAATATGTGACGTGTGACAGAAATAAATACTCCACAAAAATAAATACTCCTCTTTAATACTCCAGAAAAGTGTTAAATTAAAAAATAAAATAAATAAAAATAAAAAAATTTAAATGGATACATTTCTGAAAGTTTTGGGTTTAAATCTGTTTCAGTTTTTAAGTGAAATTCTGGTGCAGGAGAAAAGAAACCATCACAACAGCAGATCAGGTTTAGACCAGGTTCAGACCGGGTTTAGACCGGGTTTAGTCCAGGTTTAGACCAGGTTTAGACCAGATTTAGACCGGGTTTAGACCAGGTTTAGACCAGGTTTAGACCAGATTCAGACCAGGTTCAGACCAGGTTCAGACCAGGTTCAGACCAGGTTTAGACCAGGTTTAGACCAGGTTTAGACCAGGTTCAGACCGGGTTTAGACCGGGTTTAGACCGGGTTCAGACTGGGTTTAGACCAGGTTCAGACCAGGTTCAGACCAGGTTTAGACCAGGTTTAGACCAGGTTCAGACCAGGTTTAGACCAGGTTCAGACCAGGTTTAGACCGGGTTTAGACCGGGTTCAGACCGGGTTTAGACCGGGTTCAGACCAGGTTCAGACCAGGTTTAGACCAGGTTCAGACCAGGTTTAGACCAGGTTCAGACCGGGTTTAGACCGGGTTTAGACCGGGTTCAGACCGGGTTCAGACCGGGTTTAGACCGGGTTCAGACCGGGTTTAGACCGGGTTCAGACCGGGTTGAGACCAGGTTCAGACCAGGTTTAGACCGGGTTTAGAGACCAGGTTTAGACCAGGTTCAGACCAGGTTCAGACCAGGTTTAGAGACCAGGTTTAGACCAGGTTTAGACCAGGTTTAGACCAGGTTTAGACCAGATTTAGACCGGGTTTAGACCAGGTTTAGACCAGGTTTAGACCAGATTCAGACCAGGTTCAGACCAGGTTCAGACCAGGTTCAGACCAGGTTTAGACCAGGTTTAGACCAGGTTCAGACCGGGTTTAGACCGGGTTTAGACCGGGTTCAGACTGGGTTTAGACCAGGTTCAGACCAGGTTCAGACCAGGTTTAGACCAGGTTCAGACCAGGTTCAGACCGGGTTTAGACCGGGTTTAGACCGGGTTCAGACCGGGTTTAGACCGGGTTCAGACCAGGTTCAGACCAGGTTTAGACCAGGTTTAGACCAGGTTCAGACCAGGTTTAGACCGGGTTCAGACCGGGTTTAGACCGGGTTTAGACCGGGTTCAGACCGGGTTTAGACCGGGTTCAGACCGGGTTTAGACCGGGTTCAGACCGGGTTGAGACCAGGTTCAGACCAGGTTTAGACCGGGTTTAGTCCAGGTTTAGACCGGGTTCAGACCGGGTTCAGACCAGGTTCAGACCAGGTTGAGACCAGGTTGAGACCAGGTTTAGACCAGGTTTAGACCGGGTTCAGACCGGGTTCAGACCAGGTTCAGACCAGGTTGAGACCAGGTTCAGACCAGGTTCAGACCAGGTTTAGACCGGGTT